CGGCGGGCGCGGAAGCCCGGGCCCTGCAGCCTGCGAGCGCCCACAGGCGGCCCGGGTCCTCCCGCCGCCCGCCCCGCCGTCCCCGCTTCCCGCGGCCGGTACCTTCAGTGCGCGCAGAGCCGGGAGAGCCGCGCCCGCCTCGCCGCCGTCGCCTCAAACTCCCCAAAGTTGAGCCGGCGAGAGGCTGCCGCCCGCCGGAGCGCGAGGGAGAGCGCAGCCCGGGCCGGGGGACCTGCGGAGGGACGGACAGACGGACGCACGGACCTGAAGACCCCGCCGTCGGAGGCCTGTCCGGAGCGCCTGACGCGTCCCAGCGCCCGAGTCCTCGGCTAGACGATGGCTTGCTAAGTATTTCCGTTTAATTGTTTATAGGATGCTGCTGTGTATTTTTGTGTCCGTGGAGGGAGTTAAGGCAGAATGCATTCATTTTCTTAAACGTTGAGTTTCCGATGGCCAGAGGGTTGCATGGAGAGGATGTGCCTGTAAATTTCTGTAGGTAAGAAGGAACCTGGTGGGGAGGGGCGCGGAAATGCATTGAACAGGTTTCCTTTTAAAATGCAGCGTAGAACTCCTCTGTGCGAAATTAGACCCATTTCCAAAGTTAATTGGAAAGAAAGTAAATACGGTATGACTCTAAAGGGCTGGCTCACTAGTGGTAGTTAACTCATGCTTTTCCTCCCTTTTTTAATACTACTGCCAGATGGATGGGAGGCTGAGCTGGTGAAAAGCGCCTGGAGGAGACTCAGAGGCGACCATAATGTCGTTACGGTTACACGCACTGCCTGGAGTTGTCAGACCAGGTTGCAAAGAGCTGCTGTGTTTGTTGGTGATCTCAGTGGCCATGAGCCCTGGCGCCTTGGGACTGTGCCCCACGGCCTGCATCTGTGCCACCGACATCGTCAGCTGCACCAACAAAAACCTGTCCAAGGTGCCCGGGAACCTTTTCAGACTGATCAAAAGACTGGATCTGAGTTATAACAGGATTGGGCTTCTGGATTCCGAGTGGATCCCGGTATCATTTGTCAACCTGAACACTCTAATTATTCGGCACAACAATATCACCAGCATTTCCACAGGCAGTTTTTCCACAGCTCCAAATCTCAAGTGTCTAGACTTGTCATCCAATAGGCTGAAGACGGTGAAAAGTGCCGTGTTCCAAGAGCTGAAGGTTCTGGAAGTGCTTCTGCTTTACAACAACCACATTTCCCACCTGGATCCTTCTGCCTTTGGAGGGCTCACCGGGTTGCAGAAACTCTATTTAAGTGGAAACTTCCTCACACAGTTTCCTATGGATTTGTATGTTGGAAGGTTCAAGCTGGCAGAACTGACATTTTTAGATGTTTCTTATAATCGGATCCCTTCCATACCAATGCACCACATAAATTTAGTGCCAGGAAAACAGTTGAGAGGCATCTACCTTCATGGAAACCCATTTGTCTGTGACTGTTCCCTGTATGCCTTGCTGATCTTTTGGTACCGTAGGCACTTTAGCTCAGTGATGGATTTTAAGAATGATTACTCCTGTCGCCTGTGGTCTGACTCTAGGCACTCCCGTCAGCTGTTCCTGCTCCAGGACAGTTTTATGAATTGTTCGGATAGCATCATCAATGGTTCTTTCCATGCACTTGGCTTTATTCACGAGGCTCAGGTGGGGGAAAGGCTGATCGTCCACTGTGACAGCAAAACTGGTAATGGAAATACGGATTTCGTCTGGGTTGGTCCGGATAACAGACTGCTGGAGCCAGATAAAGAGATGGAAAATTTCCGTGTGTTTTACAATGGAAGTCTGGTTATAGAAAGCCCTCGTTTTGAGGATGCTGGAGTTTATTCTTGTATTGCAATGAATAGGCAACGCCTGTTAAATGAAACTGTGGATGTCACAATAAATGTGAGCAATTTCACTGTAAACAAGTCCCATGCTCATGAGGCGTTCAACACAGCTTTTACCACCCTGGCTGCCTGTGTGGCCAGTATAGTGTTGGTACTTCTGTATCTCTATCTGACACCGTGCCCCTGCAAATGTAAAGCCAGGAGACAGAAAACTGTGTTGAACCAAAGCAATGTTCATTCGTCTATTCTCAGTCCCGGCCCCGCTAGCGATGCCTCCGCTGATGATCGGAAGGCAGGTAAAAGAGTGGTATTCTTGGAACCCCTGAAGGGTCCTGCTGCAGGGCAGAATGGGAAAGTCAAGGCCTTTCCCAGCGAGACGGTTATAGCTGAGGGTATCTTAAAGTCCACCAGGGCAAAATCTGATTCAGATTCAATCAATTCTGTGTTCTCAGACACACCCTTTGTGGCATCCACCTAATCGTGTGCCTGTATGTGTATGATAGCGTGATTTAATCTCTCTCCATTTAACTTTGTGTGGTCCACAAAATAAATAGCAAGACAGAAATTGTGTTGCTTTGTCTTTTGAGCTAAAACCAAATGGTGTCTTAAGATGGTTGCTAGGAAGTAAAGCAAAGCACATTGGCTCTTCAGTGTGTTGGAGACAGATGAGGTTGTTTTTGAAAGTTTAAGTTCTAGATAACAGCATCTTAGCCTTCAGCATCACTGATGTTTCCAAAGCTGGTCTGAAGGTGGTATGGCCAACATTATTCCTTTATTTAGTTATCTTAAAGGAAAAAGGAAACTATGTATTAGTATTCTTTAAAAATAGACTCTGCTAACTTACTAGGACCAAAGTTGAGTTATTTTTAAAGGAAAGCATTGGTGACTTATTTCATTTTTAAAAGATGTAGAAAAGGGCATAAAGTTAGTTTGGGGGTTATTCAGCCAAAATCATCATTCAGATCAGAATGGACAAACTATTGATAACATTACTGGGTAATGCTCCATCCTACACGGCATGAAATTAGTTCAAGAAAGGTGCAGTTGTTTGGCTATCTTTGTTCTGCACTGTCTTCTGTGCTGTATCCCGGCACGGAAGACCTCGCTGAAAAATGAAAGGCGTCATTATGTGTTGCCAAGAATGTGTGCCAGTACCAAAATGTCTGAGTAACTTCTTAAACCTTTGTTGTAGCGGACTAAAATGTGTCCATATGTTTGTGTGTATGTAAATTTTAGTTATATGAAAGACTAAATAGACCCAAAAGTATTGTGCTTTAGACATTTAAATTAATGTAAATATATGTGCTCTGTGACTTGATGTTTTGCTTTATTTACCTATTTACAAATGTAAATCTAAGATGTCTTATGTGACTAGATTGTGCTATTTTGTGTAAAGCAACATCTATGGCAAATGTCTCTTCAAAATTCTTGTTAGAATAGAGACTATTTTAGAGGGAGAAAAGGCTTTCGTGTTCTAAACAGATTTTTACTCCCTGCATCACATGCATCCCACCAGGTTTGAAAGACACTTCAATTTTAGTTTGATAACAAGTGAGCACCTGGGAATCATCTGTATTATTGCCATATTATTGCCATATCTGCCAAGAGGAAATCACATGTCCTCTCTGAAACCAGAATGAGGAGGGGTTCAGAGCAAGTGATGCTTCAAGTTCCTTCCCATGCTAGAATCGATCTAAGCCCCAGCACAGAGTCACACTGGCTTTCTATACCTGAACCACATACTGAGGGGATACGGGGAGGAGGTTGGGCTGAACTAGCAGAGTACCTTATAGCTCACAGGTGTTACTGACCAGGCATGAAGGAATCCCAGAGAGAGTCACACCTTGTCTAAGGCCAGACAGTGAATTAGTGACTGGACAGAAGGAAACCCAGCTCAACATTTTTCCTGGAGAAGATAAGAGGTCCAAAAGAATGGCTTACCTCGAACACCCCAGGGCATAGAGACAGGAGGAGGTCAGAAGAGGGGTCAGCAAAAGGCAAAGGAGAAGCAAACGTGCAACAGTGTCACATTATGGAGAACTGACGAGGATAGAAGGTAAACTGACAGACAATGGTGGTTTACTGGGACTCCTGTCAGGAACAATAGTGGACACATGGCAACCACTCCTAAGTACCATCCAGGAGTCTCTGTGCAGACTGACCAGCAGAAGGTTAAGGAACAAGTAGTCAGGAAATGACGCTTGGGGAGTAGGATGCAGAATTACAACTCGGTAATACGACTGCCCTGCTTCTTAAACACCTCATCCTTTAGAGGAGATCCAGAGCCAGGTGTTACAAGCAAGCATTTTGTTCTAGTTACAGCCATCCAGATAATTAGAAGATAGATGTATGACCATGGAAATCATCCCTTCTTCCTTCATATTTAGAGAATCCCAGACTCAGGATGATTAGTTTAGGATCTCAGCTGGAATAGACATAAAGAAAAGCTTAAAAGATGTTAGACGTTGGGAAGGGGGCCTTCAGGGCCATGAACATGTTGACTTTGGCAGTATGACAGATCTGCAGGGAAACTGCAGAGGGTCCGGAAACGGCATCTCCTCTGGATGAGATAGCTAAGACCTTCCCAGCCCTTGATCCTAGGAAATGAGTGTTGTGTGCGCCAGGGAAACAGGGTCAGTGCAGGGAATAAGGTGGTAATAGAGTTCAGTCATGACTGGTTCTAGTGCCCAGATTTTGTAAAGGCCAGGATGCACTGAGATGGAAATGGAGGTACTTATAATCAACAGAAATCAAAACAAAAGAATCTTGACTATTTAAAATTCTTGTTTTTGAACAAAAATAAGAAACACAGACATGGAGATGAAGCATGGAACTGAATGTTGTGGTGTGGGATTCTGTGTGTTTAGTCATATACATTTTTTAGTAGGAGCCTGATCTCATGTATTTTAAATATAGAAACAAAATTAATGTGTGCTTTATACATTTGTCTCACTTGAAACTTTTATATAATTTTCCTTCCAAGTAATAACCTGGACTTATGTAATTGGGTTATTCTTTGAAGCCACTCAGTGTTTCTCCTTACATAGTGGGGAGGTGGAGACTCACTAGAGAAATCAAATAACAGTCACAGATGGGAACTTTTATTTTTTAATCTTATTTTTATTGTTTAATTAGGTAAACCTTTGTATATGTGAGTACAGGGGCCCATGGAGGTCAGAGGTGTTGAATCCCCTGGAGTTAGAGTTACAGGCAGTTGTGAGCAGCCTGATGTGGGTGCTGGGAACCGAACTCTGGTCCTCTGCTCTTAACTGCTGATCAATGTTTCCAGTCCTGATGTGAAATTTTCCTGGGCTTAGAGCATGTTTTCATTTGAAAGGGAGATACCAGGTCTGCTATGTCTGTGTGTGTATAAAATAATTATAATTAACTGTGAGTTAAAACTTTTAGGGGCTGGGGGATGAACAGCTTAGTGAGTAACAACATTTGCCTGCAAGCCTGGTACACCAAGTTGAGAACCCCTGAGCCTAGGTATAAGGCCAGACACAGCAGCCAGGCATCTACAATCCCAGCACATCCTTAGGGGAGAGCTGAGAGGTAGACAGGAGACTCTCCAGAAGCATGCCTAGCTTATGCATTGGCAAAGAGACTCTTCTCAAACAAGGTAGCTAGGTGAGGACCCATGTCAAAAGGCTATCCTCTGACTCCTACACACCCAGCATCTGCTCCGGTATGCGTCCTCCCGTCCTCTCCCCTCCACACAAACAAACTCACACACATTCATGGTTTTTTAAAATGCACACTTTGAAGCTTGGCATCCTGAAGGGATGGCCTAAAAGACTAAGTTATCCAGGCTTGGCTTCTGCTCTGCTCCTCACTGCTGCCCCAGACTCATTTCAACACATTTATCTCTAGTTTTGTTTGAAGAAGCATAAACAAATGAATTTTATTTTTCTAAATATACTTTTTTTTCCCATTTATTAATCAGAAAAAGACATAGGTGAAACCTATGAGGGTGGGACATGAGAGCAAGGGCAGATGCACTCTGAGTACAAGCACAGTTAAGACGGTTGGAGAATCCTGCTAAGCACTGTTAAAACAGGATGCAGCCAGAGCATCCTCGGCACCAAAGCCCTTTCTTTGCCACAGCCACGGCTGATTCCTGCCACCTTCCAGTGGCAGCTGTCTTACCAAGTGGCCAAGCAGTATGTCTGTAGCCAGGCTTTTCAATACACTCAGGGTTTCCAATCTCCTAACCCAAGATCCCAATTCAGGAAGTTTGGGATAGAGCATGCCAATCATATTTTTAAAAAATTGAACTGTGTGATTCTCACTCTACCTGTTTTGATGAAGCACATACTAAAGTGGGACCGTAGCAGGTTTTATGTTTGGATGCCTTGTCAAAATGCTGTGCTCTCACTCGTCAGTGGCCTTATTAAGAAAAAGAGGAATCTTAGTCCCCTAAAAAATTAAAATTGTTTTTTTAAACCAAGACTTTGGTTGGCTGACAGTAAATGAAGCCCTGAATAAATTACTGGCTGGAATTTATGGTTTATATCTTTCTAAGTTGTGAAATCTAAAATTACTTTCACATGACAACATCCATGATTCTTTCATTTTTAAGCTATTTTTAGTTTGAAAACAGCTACAACAGATCGGGTTTATAACAATGAGCATTGAACCTTTTAAATTTCATTAGATCACAGCACAGTTCGAACATATTCCAAAGATTCTGAGTGCAGATTCCCTTTACAGAGAGCCAAACTTCATTTTTTTCCAGCATATCAGAATAATTTCTTTTAAGGGGAGCACAAGGATTTTTTTTGTGTGTTTTGATCCTCTTCTTCTCAGGGGTCAGCTCCAAGCCCAGGACTCTTATGTCTTATTATAGAATTCAGTGTGGAGAGTTGGTTATTGGTTTGCTCCTAGAAGTTAATGAGTTGTTTTTATCATAAGAATCATTAAAATATCTCTCTCTTAATACTCAAGTAGGAGTTTTCTTAGTAGGATGACTTTGAAGAGCATGTGTTTAGGTAAGCTTTCTCCCTGCGCACTCGTGAATAATTCAGAGGGTTGCCCAGGGGCCATTGAGACCTATGTATGGATTACAGGGATGGAAGCTCCTTTGTGGTGAGGACCAAGGTAAACAGAATATGGATAAATGGACACTCAGTAAAATGTAAAAAGAGCATCTACATTGGCTTTTGTGTATTAAGCACTTGCTAGTACCATGTATCCAACTGAAGTAGTACCGATTTCTTCTCATCCCTCCTTACAGCAGTCTTGAAAGATGGGAACTGTAACAAATGGGAAAAGAAGGTCAAAAAAGAGTAATTTTACTAGGTGACCCAGTCAGTAAATTGTATCAAATCATGTAATCGTTAAAAAGATTCTCCATAATACTCATAGAGCTGTTTTACCAGTAAAGCATCTTGTCGTGGGTAAGCTGTGAAAGCAAGAAAGAGAAAGGGGTGGGGAGATGGCTCAGACAGGAAAGTACTTGCTGCACAAGCTCGAGGACCTGAGTTCTAATCCCTAGTACCCACATATAAAGCTGGGTGTGATGCCATGTACCTGTAACCCCAGAGCTAGGTGGGACAGTGTACACGGGTGAATCCCTGGAGCTCCCTGGCCAACCAGCCTAGTCAATTGATAAGCTCCAGGTTCAGTGAGACTATGTCAGAAAATAAGGTGAAGAGCAACTGAGGAAGACACTTAACCCTGACCTGCTTCCATGTGCATGCACAGTGATACACATGTGTGGCGGGTTCTCCTCAGGCCAGCTGTGAAGACCCTGACCTGGATCGGGTCCCCTGCTGATTAGGGAGGGTAAGAGGCGTGGAGTCACAACACACAGACCCCGGGAGTCGGGTAGATGCAAGCACTAGGTGAGGTGCTGCAGGCTCGGTTAATGCAGGAGGGGGCACGCCTTATATCTCCCTTGTCTCCGCCCCAAGTCCCTTTAGTCAGCGTATTTTTTTCTGATTGGTCCGCGCCATGCATTCTGTCAGCAGTCACTGGGCTCGTGAGCAGGGTACCCAGGCATGGGCTCCTTTTGGCGGGCTATTTGCAGACGAAGAAGTGAAGTGAATTCTCACTGAATCCCAGGGCTCTGGTCCGCGCCATCTTCAGAGGCCTCCTGATACACACGTGTACACAAACACATGCATGTGCATACAAACATATATACCATGCTCACACACACAGAACGTGAAGTAATTAGTGCTAGAGCAGGTGTTCGGAGAAGATGAATACAAGATCACAAGTTATCAAATAGGTGGACATGATTTTGAGAATGTAAATGTGTCACAAGTAGCAAGACTGGGGTTCTCCCTAGGAAGATGTGGCTTAGGTAGACCAGTAGACCAGGCTTCCTCCAGTCTACTCACTCTCATCGTCACCTTCCAGTGCACCGTGCACTCACCTAACATGCGAAACAAACGTCTGCTTTATCATGAGAAACTATGTTTCAATATATTTATATGAATAAGTGATATATTTCAATATTCTGAAAGTTAGAGGTTATCCAAATTTAGAGTAAAAATGTTAATTGAGAGAGAGCACATTTTTTTTTTTAAAATTTCCAGGATGGTAGTGGGGGAAATTCAGATTTTATGTGGGATTTTCCAACTAATTTTTAAAATTAGACTTCTGAAGATATTTAAAAATTCTCTGTTAGGTACTAATGTTAGCAGATAACCACATATGTTTTCAGAGAACTTTTTAGTGTCATAGGATGCCAGAATGAAGGGTCGCCACTTCGGTGATGAATGGCCAGTAGCAACCAGGAGGTTGCTAAGCACTGCTGGTGCTGTGGGGACTGTGAATGATGAGTAATGACTATCTTCCTTAAAGATGGTACAGTGCAGAGAGGGCAGCCATGTACGCCTAAAGCAATTCAAGAATGATTAAGAGCTGATTTGCCTACCTATAGTAGCCAATAGGAGGTGGAAGATGATTGGCAGATCCCTTGCTTTAGTCACTTGGGCTAATGTGATATAGACTTGAACACCAGATAGCTAGCCCCCGGTGACTGTTACCTTCCGTTGGGTAGACCTGCTGATGTCTTGAGGTGGTGCAAGCTAGGTAATAGTGCCATGATATGATGTCAGAGAGTCTGTTCTGGATTCTACTGCTGATGTGTTATCATTCTTGATCCAGTCTAGAGGAAAGGAACCTTGAAACTTCATGCTGGTCTTGAGTCTACACTCACAATCCCAAGTCTCACCTCCGTCTCCTTAGGAGGAAGCTTTCTAAGTGTGTCTTTGCTATGCTGTGAGAAAGGAGAACAGTAGTCATATCTCCTATGTGTAAACTCTGTGCTGAAGGCTTTGTATATTTTACATCACTCCTGCATTTTTTTTTTCTTTTGGTCTTTTTGAGACAGGGTCTCCCTGTAGCCCCAGCTGTCCTGGAACTCACTATGTAGACCAGGCTGGCCTTGAACTCCCAGAGATCCACCTGCCTTTGCCTCCCGAGAGCTGGGATTAAAGGCGTGCGCCACCACGCCCGGCTTTGTGTCCATTTTACAGAGGAGGAACTGAGTTTTAGAAATTTCAAGGGAGTTTTCCCGAGATCTTGTTTGTAGTAAAGGAGTCAGGATTGAAACTCAGCTTTGTCAGATCCACAACCCGGTCTGATGTCTATACTATCATTAAGCTGTAGTATTTTTTCCTTTCCACAAAGTAGCTTTGTTCCTCCTTCTTTTTTCCCTTTAACCTGCTTTTCCTGGCTTGAGGATGCCTTTCCTTTAGTAGTTTGGCTCTGTTTTCAGGCTGTGATGGTACCTTTCCCTTGCAGAGACCCAACCTCAGAAACTCATTGCTCTGGCCTCTCACTGCTCTAGCTTCTTTTTGTACCCCCTTCTTCCTGAACCAGATCCTCAACCTCTACAGAATGTCTTCTATCTGCTTATGCAGAGCCTAGCACATAGTGGGTGTTTGCATTTCCATCCTGTCCGTCTGTCCATCCATCCATCCATCCATCCATCCATCCGTCTATCCATCTAACAGCACTGAATACCTAGTAAGTGTTGGTCTGTGTACTCAACCCAAAGATCACCGGTATTTAAACCATTCCTAGGTTTTGAAGAAATGCAGAAATAGAGTTTTTTCATGAAGCAGATGCCTCAGAGTTGAAATGCCTTGACAAGGAGAACAGAGAATTCCTGGGAGAAATAAAGTTTCCTGGGTGGAAGCTTTAAGGAGGTCTCTGTGTAGAGAGACTATGTGTTCCCACAGCATGTTCTTTGAGGACCCAGCCAGGTGAAGTGGCTGTCTGGAAGCATGGATCTACTTTTAAAATATTTTTATTATGTGTACATCCTTGTGTGGGTATGTGCCTGTGAGTGTAGGTGCCCATGGAGGTCAGAGATATTGGATTCTCTGGAATACAAGCTACAAGTGATTGTGAGCTGCCTGGTGTGGGTTCTGGGACCCAAACTCAGGTCCTCTGCAAGAACAGTACAGGCTCTTAATTGCTGTGGGGCTGGAGAGGTGACTCAGCAGCTCTTGTAGAGGACCTGGGTTCAGTTCCCAGCACTCACATGGTGGCTGACAACTGTTCATAACTCCATTTCCAGGGGATCTGACCTCTTCTGGTCTACTCTGATATTGCACAGATGGGTGTACTTACATACATGCAGTCAAAACTCTCACACCTAAAATAAAAATAAATAAATTTTAATGGAATGTTTCATGAATTTGTGCGTCATCCTTGCCTAGGGGGTCATGCTAATCTCTGTATCATTCCAATTTTAGTATATGAGCTGCTGAAGTGAGCACAGATCTGCTTTATGAGCCCCATCACTCGTGGGATCACTAGACCCTTTGCATGGGGTCCAACATGAAGACTCCCACCCTATATTCCTCTGTCTCTCTGGAAATGCACCTTCCCTGGAAGCCTCCTAATGTAAAGGAGACATGCTAATGAGGCTCATGTACGCGATTACTGTATATTTTTGTAGGTTAAAAGGAGCTAGAAATATTAGTTTGTGTTGTGTAACCATATGAGCTTAACTCAATAGTGATGAAGTAATCCTACTTCAGTTATCACTCCATACCAAGAAATATCTCAGAGCTAACGTTTACCTGTGTCTCCTGGTAATTAAATTTACATTGCTAGCCCAGACATTGACTTAACTAAGACAATTTTATAAGAGTGAATGATTTGGGTGGGAAGAGACAGAAAAATGTGGTTTTTAAAGGGCAAAACATCAGACTGACCTGTAGAATTAAATCATAGCAGTTCAGGCTGCGTAATGAACATTTGTGTGCACTTTGCCCTAACTCTGCCTACTTAAGTGCTTCCTCAAAGCATTTGTGCCCAAGCAAGTCTTTATCAAAGTCTAGGCAGAGCTTCCGCACACTTTAAAAATAAATGCGTTCTCTCAACATTATTCCCTCTTCTATAGGAAATATCTTGCCTGAGGTAGAAATACAATGAAATATCTATGATGGGGAAGTTCAAAAGAAGTTGATTATTTTTTATTTGTTCTCAGTTTTTTAATATTCATACTTAATTACAACCTTAGGGAAGTCTTCAGCTTTGAGTTTGACCTACTTCACATCAGTGGAGAAAATAGCAAATATTTCCCCTTAGCAACCATTTATAATAACTTTGACTTTTTCCCAAAACCCAGAGGAAATATAGTTCTTGATCTTGGGCCAAGTTTGTCAGGAACTATTTGTGCTATAAATCTCACTCGTGTAAGGGCACAATTGGAAAAGCATACCATTGATTATTCTATATAATTTGTAACAAGGACTTTAATTAGCTATGGTACATAATGATTGGAAGGACAAGTGTGTTACCATGTTTTTTTCTTGTTTAACTGGTCAACATTAAGCAGCTTAAGAATTTAGCAGGGGTTTTGAAAATGAAATCATACAGAGCTCCTACAGGGTCTCAGATTTTCATAAAGAACCAAGCTAGGCTCTGCTCGGCGGGGATTTTCTGCTAATCATGAGGTGGCTGCTAACTCCTCAGCTTACTCAGTTTTGAGTACTGCACACTGGGTGGAGGTGGGAGTATCATTTACCAGATCGGGCATCCTGTACTTCTCTTGAATTTAGAGGTAGTAGCAGGATTCTTGCCAGGCAATGAAGCCTCTTCCCACAGGGTCTGAAGATTTAGAGGAGATGTGGGCAGACACATTTCTAGAAAGTTTTTCCTGGTTACATCATTTCTCTGCTTCTTGAAAATGCTTGAAACACATACTTGTAGTTCCGATCAAACCATCATAAAGATGCTCGGCCTCAGATCCCTTCTGACCCTTCCTCTCTCGCAAAAACATTGACGAGCACTTTCCGTCTAGGGACCCTCGGCCCTCCCAGACCAAGTGTTTATCTACGTAGACACCACAGCCCATCCACAGTGTGAGGCACCTCCGTGTCTTCCTCTGCTCAGGACCCCATGACCCGGGTATCACTTGTGGTCTTTGCACTGGAAGCACATACAAAGATTTCAGAAACATTGCTAGGTAGAGGGTCTACACTGGAGATTTACTTGGTTGAAAACCCTGCAGGGGACTGTGAAGTGCAGCCACACTCACATCTTTACCGAGGCCCGCAGGCCTTCGCCATCAGAGCCAACGCTCTGGCCTCATTTTCTCCCTGGCCTCTGTGTACTCCAAGGCTGTTCCCATTCAGGGCCTAAATACTTTGCCCCAACAGATCCGATGGGCTTAGTCTCCCTTGTTCAGATGTCCCCTGAGGGAGGCCTCCGACCTGTCCTGCCCCAGACCCACTGTGTTCCGTTTTATTTTCCTCCGTCGTGTTCACTACCGTCTGACACACATAGGCCACCTGCTTTGCATCCCGTGTGAGTTCTACAAGGGCAAGGGCACTTACCTGTTTTGTTCATCATTGTATTCTTTGTGCTTAGAACAGAGCCTGGTCTGGCATGTCATGAATATTTATTAGTAAACAGGTAAATGAATATAAAAGCAGCTGTCTGACTGCCCACTGCTGTGAACTCTGAGGCCGGGCTGCATAGACACGTGCTGTTCATGACACCGCCGACTTCCATGTGGCTTGTTTTCTTGCTGTGCCGATCGTTCTTGACGTTATTCTTCACTCTGCAAAAGAGCACGTGAAGATTTTGCCATATTCAGGGATGAATAAGCTGTCTAAATACATCTAAGTACCCACTTAGCATATCCCACTGTTTAAGGAGTCCCATTTGGTGGTTATGAGATGTCATGCCACTTGCAGGAGAAACAAGAAGCCCTTGCCTGTCTCCCCTCAGCATCCTCTGACAGAATAATGCCAGTTACTATGTGTTAAGAACCTGAAAGAACCGGACCCAGCTTAAAAGGTATCAGGCAGCAGACCTGATACCAGTAATAAGCTGTCTCCTACATTTCAAGCAGGTTTTTGGCACCCAGTTCTGTCAGGAAGAGTTCTGACTGCTTTAGTGAATCAAGGGCAAAGCTGTGGTGTTTACTTAGTCACAGCAGACCAGCTGCCAGAGGTGACCTCTGAGGGGGCTGTGAGGTCTGACAGGCCAATTAACTGTTCTGTCAGTGTGTGGAATCTTCTAGCAACTTCCATGGCAACATATTTTCTGAATTAATTCCTGGTATGAGGAGAAACTTGCATGATCACAGGGAAAATTGAGCCAAAGAAGGAACTGAGGGGGGTGGGGTGTGTAGTGTGAGGCCAGACCCTCAGAATATCTGCCTTCTCCAAGGAGGCGCTCGGGGAGTGTGAGGGTATTGAGAGTGATGACAAGTGTCATGGGGGCTGTGATGTGCAAGGCGAGGACGACCTTCAGTGCCGGCCGCTTGGGCAGTTCCAGAGGGAAGAAGTGGCTCACCACTGCCCAGCGTCTTGTCACATCACAGGCTGCTCCAGAGCAGCTGCTGTCCCTCTCCCAACCTCTAGCCCCTTTATTTTGCACTGGGAGTCTGTGCAGTGCCGAGCTTAAGAGAGCAGGGGTCGGCGTGCCTCTTTCTGTAGCAGCCCTTTTGGTATCTTAAATGGGTATTTTTCACATCTGTGCCGCTGCTGTTCGCCTGCTTTCTGGCTATTAACAATTAAACCAAAGAAGACGACCAAACAAGGAAGAGGAGCAGTTCACCTTACTGAGAACTTTGCACATGCCAGGCTTGGTTCGAAGTGTGCTCCACGGACCTAACCCTTGCAATTCTCACAACAGCCCTGAGTGAGCACCTGACAGAAGAGAAACTTGAAGCATAGAGATGCAGAGAGATGCGCCAGTGTCACGCTGCTGAGAAATGGCAGGCGATGCTTCATTTAATTTTGACAAGGACACATTGAAGTAAATACTGTTGTCCCATTTACATCAAGAAGAGTGAAAGAAATTAATTACTCAAGGCCTGTGGCTGGTAGCTAGGAGGTTAGGATCAGAGTCCAAGTTTGTTTGGCTTCAAAGCCCTGGTTTATGCTTCTTTTGATTTATTATTAATAATCTACATTTGAAATTACCACAAATATTGCTGAAAATGGGCATCTTGATATCACGCACTGAGTGTTAGATAAAGATCCTGTAAGTTTTAGCTTTATTATAAAGAAAATAGGGATTGGGGCTGTAGCTCAGAGGTAGGCTGCTTGTCTAGCTTGTCCAAGGCCTTGTGTTGTGTGCCTTTCAGACAGTGCAGTGATGACAGATCAAAGAAATGGTTCCACCCAGTCTAGGTTAGTGAACCAGCGAGCCTACTGGGGTTCCTTAGAGGAGTATGGGTGACTCAAAGGCATCTGCATCATGCAAAAGCCCACTCAGCATGGGTGACGACTCAGGGAAGCACCTCCCTGGAGCTCCTCGTCCAGCTTGCAGGCAGCTCACTACCCACTGGACCATAACCTTGGCGATGGGTCTTGGAGATCCTTTATTTTTTGGTCTCCCCTTTGACAGTGTCATATATGTATATAATTAATTCTGGTCACATCACCCTCCCTTACCCTCTCTTTCACCTACACTAACCCCCCTCTTCCTCCTAAGCTTCCATCCCACTGTAATGTCTTCTTGTTTCATTTTGGTTTTTGTTTGTGACACAGTGGGTTCAACCAGGGCTGCCCATGTGGGCATGAATGTGGAGCTATCCATCGGAGCTTGAGTAACTTGCCAAGGGCCACATCTTGGAGGAAGTGATATGGATATGCCATTTAAGATTGAGCACTCAATAGTCACTTGTTCTCAGCACCTTGATGAGCCATGACTCTCTGCATTAACTGTCCTTCACTACAAAGAAAACTGTTTGATCAGGACTGAGGGAAGCACTAATTTATGGGTATAAACAAATATTTAGGAGACAGTTTGAAAAAATACCCATGTAGCAAAACAAAATAGTAGGTTTACCCCTTATGCCTATGACTTCTCTAGTCACTGGCCTTTGGCCAAGTTCATAGTACTGGGCATGAATGCCCTCTTGCAGAGAGTGGGCCTTAGATCCAATCAGACATCATTTGGTTACCTGTATAACACTGGTACCACTATTGCACCAGTAGGCACAGCTTACCTGGCAGATTAGAATTGTAGCATGCAAGGGCCTTGAAAATCTTATAACTTTCTGAGACATAACTTTCAGGACTTCCTTGAGTCTTACAAACTTTACATACTTTCTTAGGCTTATGAACCTTTCACTTCTTTTTTTGTTTGTTTAATAAATAATTTATTGAGAATTTCATACATGCATATGAGGTGTTTTGATCAAATCCATGCCCACGCCCTCCCCTCCAACTCCTCCCATATCTCCCCATCACTTTTTTCTGATAGCTTCATGTACTCTTTCTTCTTCTTTGATATATTTTTTTTATGGGGC